CACAATCACAGCACACCCACACATTTTCCAAACAAGTGCTTTTCCTTGGCTTCTTTAGCCTTAATTCTTTTATGCCTTCAAGTAGGAGCAAGGCTAAATGTTTCAAAACACATTTTGTGGTCACCTTCTTTGCTAATCCTGCATGGTGGTCAGTGTCTCACTTGAGAATGTGGGAGTTAATGAGACTTAGTGTTCTATCCTCTGCCTTTTGAGGCTTCAGCCGAAACCGATCAATCTTGCTGTATGGGCATCAGGCCATTCCCTTTTAGGTATTATGAGGGAGCTTTGGAACGGAAACCAGATCCAGGAAGGTGTTAACGTTTAGTTAGTATAACAAGACTACAGCTACAATTTCAAAAAATAATGCAGTTAAAGTCATGTTAAACGGGAGAGTTACGTACCTGCAAACTAGGATTTTAATCTTAAACAAAAACAAAGAAATGCTCAGGTTTGACATGCATAAACTTGTTTAGTTTATTGTAAGGTAGTCATGGCAAGGCATGCAAATAAGACCGCAAGACATTCATTTAGAATCTGAGAATCAGAATTAACAATTACAATTACAATTGTTGTTCAATGGTTAGAGTCCCAAAATTTAGACTTCAGGTTTTTATCTTTTATGAGTGGTCTTGGGAGGAAGGTTTCACCATGGCCCAAATTCAGCAGAGGTCCCTCATAGCTATGGGTGAGGTAGGCGGAGGTCTTGGGAGGGAGTCAAACTCTAGAGGGAAGTTCCGTCTCTGCCTTCTCTCAGTGAGCGTCATGGATTAAATTTTGTCCACCCAAAAATGTGTGTATCAATTTGGCTGGGCCATGATTCCCAGTATTGTGTGGTTGTCCTCCATTTTATGATTGTAATTTTATGTTACGGATGATTAGAGTGGGAATGTAACACCTTTACTAAGGTCATATCCCTGATTCAATGTAAAGGGAGTTTCCCTCGGTTGTGGCCTGCACCACCTTTTATCTTACAAGAGATAAAAGGAAAGGGAAGTAAGCATAGTGGGGACCTCATACCACCAAGAAAGCAGTGCTGGGAGCACAGTGCATCCTTTGGACCTGAGGTTCCTGAGCTGAGATGCTCCAAGACCAAGGGAAGACTGATGACAAGGACCTTCCTCCAGAGCTGACAGAAAGAGAAAGCTGACACCCTGAATTTGGAGTTGTAAACTACTAGACTGTGAGAGAATAAATTTCTCTTTGTTAAAGCCATCCGCTTGTGTTATTTCTGTTATAGTAGCACTAGATGACTAAGACAGTGAGTGAGCAAAAATTCAGGTTTACATGTGAATTTCTCACCTTGGCTTTACACAGTGAAGGCCAATGTGACATCAAAGACTACACTATTCCTCACTTATAGACTATCTCATTATCTGACATTTCACATTTACGACAATAGTAAAAAATCTACTATCTGAACTATTTTGCACATTAACAATGTATGTCTAACAGTAACAAATGCCAAGATGTGAGTCGAGAGTAATGCTGGCTCTGATGGTTAAGGCTATACGTCAGCTTGGCTGGGCCATGATTCTCATTCACTTGGCAGTTATGTAATTGTGTAATTTGGCAATTATGTAATGGTGTAATTTGACAGTTATATAATGATGTAGTCATTCTCCATTTTGTGATCAGATGTGGTCATCCTCCATTTTTGCATAATGCCAATTTTCACATAATGACCTGGTCTTTGGAATCTAACCATGTCGTTAAGTGAGGAATGGGTGTACTATATTATGTCTTGTCTCCAGGGTTAAAGATTAGCCAAATGTTGCATATTCTCTTCAAGATTAGAGATTAGGGAGGATGTTTAGCTTTATGTCTCAAAACTAGTTTAAAAAGACCAACTATGTTATGTTTCTTTTATCATAGCATGCTGGGTCAAAGTCAACTTAAATGTTGTTTACCACATTCTTCACATACGTCTATGTTTCTATGGTTAAGCTCAGAAATTTTCTAAATGACTTTGTAATAATTTACAGGTTTCTAATAATTTATGCATGTAGTTCTCTACTTATGATGGTGTTCTGTTCTGATGACTCTTTCATAAGTCGGTTCTGACATAAGTGGAATACCTCATCCTTTTTTTAATTTTCATTATTATTGCATTTTATCATCAGTATCTTTATAAATCTGATCTTTGTTTTTGGGGATTGGAAATATTATGTATAAACTTACAGATACATTTTTAACATTATATGTAGTACATATTACTAATAATAAATGTACAAAAAAAAAAATCCAGACTGCCATAAGTGCAGTTTGTCATAACTTGACTATGTCATACGTTGGTGACTACCTGTAGTTAATGTTAGACAGCCTCATAAATGTAGACATATTTCTATTTCTGAGTTCATATTATGAGTGATTATACATATATATTTTGAAAGCATAATAATGACATACCATATGTGATTTGAAAGCATTATAGAAACATACAGAACAATACCCCTCATGTAGACTAAACAAGGTGGAGATACTTAAGGAGAAAATCAGCTGCATCATTGTCTATTTTTCGTCTCCATTTCTCTCTGACCCACCCAACATTCAGAAGACAAGCACCCATTCTTCCCCTTCAGCAGATCCAGCAGAAACTGATATCAGAGCTCTTCTTTAGTTCTATAGAATCAGCAGAAAGTGATCTGAGAAAACAACTAACATCAAATTGACATCTGAAAGGGCTGAAAATGTTCAAGTAACAAGAAGTTAGTATGCGTTGAGACTTTATTATTCTATAGGAAGGACTTGGTGTCTCAGAGAAGGGGAGGGGTCACTGGATGAAGAAGATCTAAAAAGGAGTCAAGTGCAGAAGAGAGAGTGAGAAAAAGAAAAAGGGGTAATTAGTGAATAAATGAGTATCCATGGCAAGTACCCTATACAGTCTTAAGCCATAAGATGGCATGATATACAAGACAATGAGTAATATCAGTAATACCAGGGTACAACTACTGGTCCACCACTCTGTATGACTCTGAGGCATGTACCTGAATCCTTCTATGAAAGAAATTGCTTAAACTCCATTTAGAGTCCAGAGCATTTTCAATTTTGGGAAGTTAAGCAATGAGGCATTTAGAATGAGGAGGGAGGAGGGAGTATCCTGGCTTTATGACCCTCTGTAAATGATCAGCTGTCCCCTCACTGTGGAGATCTGGGGAGTGAGGAGCATCAATCAGCAGATGATTACCCAATTATAGACTCTTAAGACCAGATAATCCATTTCCCACTTCTCTGAGGTAATTTCTGTGGATATGAAAAACAAGAACACCTTAGGGCTCACAAGGATTACATTTCAGATCTCTTTGGGAGAACAATAGATCAAATGTAAACACACCTGGAGGACAGTATCATGATGTTAGAGCCAACTAAAAAATTGAACCAATCACGGTCCAGGCATGAAAATGATTCCCATACAAGATAGTTTGATAGCGAGAAGTTAAAAGGGATAAAGGTGTAGGAAAAACAGAAACTGCAAAATTGGACCAATGAGGCAATCCTAAAGTTAGCCACAGTTGAGATCCTCCACTATCCTATGGCTAGAGGAAAAATAGGAGTATTCGGTGTGAACACAAATCCAAAAAAAAAAAAAAAAAAATTGTTATCCAGTGAATTAGGACTCCTGGCAACCCTATGTGTATCAGAGTAGAACAGTGCTCCATAGGGTTTTCAATGGCTGATTTTTCAGAAGTAGATTGCCAGGGCTTTTTTCAAGGCCCCTTTGGGTAGATTTGAACTGCCAGCCTTGAAGTTAGCAGCCACGTGCATTAACTGTACTGCCCAGGAGCAAGTTATAGTGTCCAGGAACTGGATACAGTGGGACTTCCAAATAAGAATTGAGTACTCAGAGGCAGGTGCTTTACTCCCAGAGAGAAAATCACTGAGGAGATGGAGCCACTGCTGGAGCCAAAAGAGAGTGGGGGAGAAAGGTCCTGAGATCTCCTTTTCTCCCATCTACCACTGTCCCACAAGAGACTTGCACTGACTGAAAATAGCCAGAAGCCAGAAAGTCTGGAAAATATTTGCAAGGAATAGCGTTGATTGATACAGAACAGAGTAAAGAAAAGAAGAAGGAATGGATCTCAGTGTGGAGAGGATAATGACAGGCGCAAAAGTTAAGCAAAACATTGTTCAGTCTCCCAAGTTAAAAGTGAATGATCAAGTCTGAGTCACTGGTCATAGGACTAATAATTTTGATCTTTATTTTACGAGGCTACAAATTTGATTTTGTAAGGCAAAAGTTATATAGTCTACTATTTATGTACATTCCATGTCAAACATTTTCAATTAATCTCTAGTCATCTCCATTCACAAGCAAGAAGAAAATGCAAAGTTGGTACCAAAGGAGTTAACTGGATACATGTTAATTGTTTTAAAAATAGATGTACTAGAATCAATGAATGACAATATATTTGGATACCAAGAGATAATGTGGATAAAACAGAATTTGTTATATCCTATAGAATTAAAACTCCATTAGCATAGATGGGAATGCCATTCTTGTTTATGTAACTATTAAGTCTGTGAGAATTAGTACAGATAGATAGATATACAGAGCATGCAGTGGCACGTACATTCTCCACTGGTTCCCAGCTGTGACCTTGAGGAAATGCCAGTCTCCTGGTGTTAGTCTCCTCAAATATAAATGTCTGGTGTCAGTCTCTTCAATTATAAATGGGGATAATAAAACCTACTTCATAAAGTGATTTTGAGTTAGATGAGAAAAGTGTGGGAATATATTAATAAATTATAAGGTACTCTACAAATATATGACAGAGGTATCTGATTACATGAGAAGCTATTAGGTCTCTACTCATGTCTTTGTGCTTCATTTAAAACAGGAATTATCTTAAATAATAAGCAGAGAAACAAAACAAAGAAAGAAAAAGATATGAGAATGACCCTGACACTCACTCACTGTGTGACTTGGTTAAGCCACATAAATTCTCTTGACATTCCTTGAATATCCAGTGCTGCTTCTAAGGCTAGAAGAATGCTGGTCTGATTTATAAGATTCTCTCTTGGCAGCAGAAGAAGTTCACCTTGCAATATCCAGCAATCTTCTCAGTCTCCAAGCACATCTTTCTACACTTGCCCCGACCAAGCCTGCATGGCTCACAGACAGATAACTCACCTGCGCCAAGAAAGAGCTGCTGAAATGGCTTCCCTGATGCCCTCTGGAAATGGGGAATGGATCAAAGGCCATCAATAAGGGAGGGTTTGCATTTATATGACATAACTATAAAAATACATACCTGATAGTATTGTTGAAGGTTGCCATATGAAAATGGAAGTGATATCTTAGTGGTTTTGGAAAGATCCTTGGAAGTGGAGTTAAGACACTTAGGTTCAATTCCTGTTTGAGTTTAATAATGGCCATGCGTCCTCAATAAATTGCTTAATTTCTTTTTATCTCGGCTTTCTCATTTGACAAATGGGCAGTATAGAAATACGTGTCTGCATTTTTAATTTGTTTAGTTGTCAAATGAAATAACTTTTATGAGAATATTTTTTGCCAAGCACTATTTATTTAATTAGTTATTTTGTTGTTACTGTAAGCAACAACTTTTTAACAAGACCATGAAGACTTTTTCAGGATAACTTTCATGGATCAGGTAGTGTCTTAGTTATTTAGTGCTGCTATAACAGAAATACCACAAGTGGGTGGCTTTAAAAAACAGAAATTTATTTTATCAAAGTTTAAGAGGCTAGAAGTCTGAATTCAGGGCATCGGCTCTGGAGGAAGGCACTCTCTGTCCACTCTGGGGGAAAATTCTTGTCTCAGCTTCTGTAACCCTGGTGTTCTTTTGTTCCTTGGCTGTTTCTACATACAGTCGATCTTTCTCACACTTGTGCTTGCTTCTCTCTGTGTTTAATCTGTTCTTTTTATATCTCGAAAGTCATTCGGTTTAATACAACCCTACACTGATATGGAATCATTAACATAACAAAGAAAACCTTATCCCCAAGTGGGATTACATCCACAAGTATGGGGGTTAGAATTCCATCACATATTTTTGGGGCACACAATTCAATCTATAACAGGTAGGTAGCAACTTCATCACTTAAGAATTCTTTATTTGCTGATCTGATTCTCCAGGGAAAACATTTATATCATAGACACTTATTTCTTTTCCTATCAAGCATCATCTTTCCAATAATCTCAGAACAACATCAAACCTCACAGATTAATGCCACTATTTTGAGATTTCCAGGCTTAGCTGGTTACTTATCACATTGCAATCAATCATTGTGTTCTGAGATAATTCATTTTTCTACTCGTAGTGGTTATTTCAAATCTTCATGTTCCATATGTCACCACCTGACTCCCACTCTCAGACTATTGCTTAGTAACATATCCAGCTATATTTGGTCCAATTCCTAGGCCTAAATTCTATTGCCTTGCCCCTGGTTCACATTGCTGTGTAGGGGATGTATGTCCTGAGGTTGCCGACATAACTTCTGAAGACTAATCCAAAGATTGTGTTCATGTCAATTGTTTCTTACATTGTATTTTAACTTGCTACTGTCTTTGGAGACTGTTCGGTTGCTTCTGTGAAGTCCACTGTTACAGTCAAATCAGTTTCCCCAGCCTCTGCTCTAATTTAGTATTTTCATACTTATATCATCTCCCTTTTCTCCTTGCAGCTGTGCAATTATCATACTTGTCATAACATTCCAGATGAACTTTGAATAAAGTTCCTAGTGACTATTATTTTAATTTGATTAGAAGTGAGGAAAAGCATAATCTAATGTTCCACTGAAGATGTCTTTCTGCTAGTAGGAGATCATACTAAACGTTTCCTGATAACATTTATAAATAAAACCCCATCTCCTCCTTCTCCATCATGTTGGTTTAACCCCTACAGTATGCTTCTGTGTCTCCAAGACACCTCAGCTCAATAGCAGAATCTCAAGCTCCTCAACTCCTTTATCAGTTCTAGTCCCTAAATTTATTATTTTCTCCTCCTAAATGCCTTCCTCATCTAGCATCTTCTAGATTAGTGTCTACCTTTATCCCCAGACTATGAAAGCTCAAACTCTCTTCACCTGGATTATTAATACCTGTGCTTTCACGTCCTAGCTTGTCCTACTTATTGAGCCTTTCATTACTGATACAGGAGGAATCAACATTTTCAGCCTTATAATCAGACAGGACATGGTATTGTGTTGTAGTTATAATCTGACATTCTCCTTAGAATGCTAGGGGCTATGTCTAGACACCCATTTCCTGCAGAATTAGAGCACCCATTCTCCTATTCACTCACTTAATAATCCTCCCTGGATATGCTTATATGCAGAGCTTCTATTCAGCTGGTACTCACTGGCCCTGCTCTTATCAGACCAGTGAGTGGCTTGATCAATGCCTGTCCTCTGGTTTGTTAAATAGTTTGTAAGTCACCTTTGAGCATAAGTATTACTAAGAATCATTCTATCTGGTTAAGAATCACAGAATTAAATCTTGTGACTCTGGTATCCTGAGTTGGAAGCCTAGTTTACCACTTTTATGTGTCTCAACTTGGCAAAGGTATTTAACTTCTCGCCTACGTCTCAGTTTTATTGTCTGTAAAATGGTAGTTATAATAATATCTACATCATGGAGATGTCTTGAGGATTAAATGATATAATCCATATAAAGTTGTTGATATGGTGCCTGGTGCTTAGTAAGCTGTCGATGACTATTAGCAGTCTTAATATTTCTCACTCCTAAAATTTGAATCTAAACACATTTAAATTTTGCTCACAATTACTCAGGAAATATTTTTTTCAGTTCTGGTTATAATGCACTTTCTTCCTATATAGATGACTCCACAAAAAAAGATCAGATTTAAGATCAGATTTACTAGATTGAGGAGCAGAGCCTGTAAGAGGTGAGCAGCCATAGTCTCAGAACAATGCTAATTGTCTGGTATAAGGAGTGAGCCTATGACCTTAGTTTAATTAGCACCATGACCTAATCTGAAAAGTCACCAAGTCCAAATCTCTGTGGACAAAATACAAGCCGGTGGCAAAGACTTTTCTCTGTGAAAAGGAAAATCCAGTATGCTACTGGGGACAAGAAGAAGAGAAAAGGAAAGAGTAATAGGTTGGGATTTCAGCAAATTTTGTTGTCTGTACTGTCTCCTCCCTTATTGTCTCTAAAAGTCACAAACGGTGACCATGCCAAAATTTCTAAGAGAAAAGAAAAAAATATATACAGGGGATTTAACTTACCTCCTGGAAATAACTGGGCATAATCAAGTCCTGCCTTGCACCCTAAATTCAAAACAACACACATTTTGGAAATTAAGACCAATGCAGCAGCAAATGACACTGCATACAACAGTATTCCCAATCCCATACTCTATACCATAAAACCAAACCAAACCAAACCAAACCCATTGCCTTCGAGTGAATTTTGACTCATAGTGACCCTGTATGACAGAGTAGAACTCCCCCAAAGGGTTTCCAAAGAGCGACTGGTGGATTCAAACTGCCTACCTTTTGGTTAGCAGCTGAAAGCTTAACCACTGTGCAACCGGGGCTTCGCTCTATCTATAGCAGACCTCAGGGTCTGGATCGCCATCCTATTTCTCAGAGCCAACATTCCTGATAACCAGTAAGACCAGGTTTAAAAAAAGAAATAGCAGATGCAGTCTGCGCTCAGGAAATGTCACTGCACGCTCAAGAAATTCTCATGAGAAGCACAGTGAGGAGCTGACTTTTACTCCCAATTTTAGGGTGGTATGTAGCAGAATCATCAAGGTTTATGATCTGTCCCATCAAAATTCCATCCATTTTTATTTACCTGATGGTAATTGATCCAAAATGAAGAAAAAAGCAAAAAGAAAATAAAGTATCTTCCTGTCTGGGGCCATCTCTGAGGGAAGACTCTTTAGAATAGAGATTTGGATTTCTTTGAAAGAATAAGAGATTCATTTTTATTTGAAAGTAAAGAGATATGCTCTTGGTCAGTGAAGTGAATCAACAAAGAAAGCACATGTATGCGCTCCATTTCCCAGGATCAAAGGCTGATATTATGGATAATAAACCTTGGTCTACACATAGCCTTATAGTTTGGAAAGGCTGACTGGTATAGTTGAAAGAATACTGGGCAAGGAGTCAGAAGACGAGGGGTTAGATTCAACCCTGCCATATTAATCCAGGGACTCAGAACAAATTATTCATCTCACCTCTCTCAGCTTCAATTTTCTCATCTATTAATAAGGACAAATTCACATATTCTGCCTGCCTCTTGATGTTGTTGTAGAGATGTAGTATGTTTGTCATGCAAAGAATTTTGAACATATAGACTGCTTAAAAGAAGGCCTAGTACCCTTTAAGAGCTCAATAATGTGGACTATCAATTTACTTGCTTTCATTGTCATTGTTTATAAATATCACAGGGAAAAAGGGAGGAATAGCAATCATTTTGCCACATTAGTGCTGAATCCCAACATAACTTGGCTGACCAAAGTCATAATTACCACATCCTTTTAATGCATTAAGAGCATAGGTATCAACATTATTGTTCAGATCACTGTGCTTCCAAATAATTTCTGCTTATTCCCACCCTGTTGCCTGTGTTTGTAGAATATTCTGTTCTTTGATTTGGAATGAAAAACAGAATAATTAAAAATGTAAAATTGAAGTCAGACAGATTGATGTATCAAGTACATGACCTTGGGCAATTGCTTAACATTTTTGAACCTCAGTGTCTTCATTCTTTTCTTTTTTTTTGATTTTTTATTGTACTTTAGATGAAGGTTGATAGAACAAACTGACATCTCATTAAACAGTTAGTACACATATTGTTTTATGACATTGGTTAACAACCCCACGACATGTCAACACTCTCCCTTCTCGACCTTGGGTTCCCTATTACCAGCTTTCCTGTCCCATCATACTTTTTAGTCCTTGCCTCGGGGCTGGTGTTCCCCTTTAGTGTCATTTTGTTTTATAGGCCTGTCTAATCTTTGGCTAAAGGGTGAGCATCAGGAGTGACTTCATTACTGAGCTAAAAAGGTGTCTGGGGGCCATACGGTTGGGATTTCTTCAGGCTCTGTGAGACCAGTAAGTCTGGTCTTTTTTTGTGTGTTAGAATTTTGTTCTACGTTTTTCTCCAGCTCTTTCCAGGGCCCTCTATTATGATCTCTGTGAGAGCAGTCAGTGGTGGCAGCCAGGCACCATCTAGTTGTACTGGACTCAGACTGATGAAGGCCATGGTAGTTGTGGTCCATTAGTCTTTTGGACTAATCTTTCCCTTGTGTCTTTAGTTTTCTTCATTCTTCCCTGCTCTGGAAAGGGTGAGAGCAGTGGAGTATTTTAGATAACCACTTACAGGCTTTTAAGACCCCAGACACTACTCAAAGAATTAGGATGTAGAACATTTTCTTTATAAACTATATTATGCCAATTGAGCTAGATGTTCCCCAAGACCGTGGTTGTCAGAGCCCTCAGGCCAGTAATTCAGTCCCTTATGGAGTTTGGATTTGTCCGTGGTGCTCCCAAGACCTTGCACTGAACTAGTTGTCTTGGCTTCCCCAGTATTGTGAACTGTCTTAGCCTTTACCAAAGTTACCATTTATCTATTGTCTATTTAGTGTTTTTCCATTTCCACTCCTCCCCTCCCCTGTAACCATCAAAAATTGGTTCTTTTTGTGTGTAAACGTTTTCATGAGATTTTATAGTAGTGGTCTCATATAATATTTGTCCTTTTGTGACTGACTTATTTCACTCAGTATAATGCCCTCCAGATTCATTCATATTGTGAGGTTCTTCACAGATTCATCATTGTTCTTTAGCGTTGTGTAGTACTCCATTGCGTGTATGAACTATAGTTTGTTTATCCATTCATCTGTTGATGGGCATCTAGGCTGTTTCCATCTTTTTGCTATTGTGAACAATACTGCAATGAACATCGGTGTGCCTATGTCTATTCATGTGACTTCTCTTACTCCTCTAGGATATATTCCTAGGAGTGAGATTGCTGGATCATATGGTATTTCTATTTCTAGCTTTCTAAGGAAGAACCATATCGTTTTCCAAAATAGTTGTACCATTTTGCATTCCCACCAGCACGGCATAAGAGTCCCAATCTCCCTGAAACCTCTCCAACATTTGTTATTTTCTGTTTTTTTTTATTGGTTCCAATAATGCCTAGGTGCGATGGTATCTCATTGTCGTTTAGATTTGTATTTCTGTAATGGCTAGAGATCACGAGCATTTCCTCATGTCTGTTAGTCACTTGAATGTCTTCTTTGGTGAAGTGTCTGTTCATTCCTTTGCCCATTTTTTAATTGGATTATTTGTCTTTTTGTTGTAGATGTGTTGGATTTCCTGTAGATTCTAGAGATTAGACCTCTGTCGGATTTATAATAGCCAAATTTTTTTTCCCAGTCTGTAGGTTCTCTTTTTACTCTTTAGGTGAAGTCTTTTGATGAGCATGTGTTTAATTTTTAGAAGATCCCAGTTATCTAGTTTATCTTCTAGAGTTTGTGTGTTGTTGGTTATGGATTGTATCCTGTTAATGTCATGTATTGGGCCTCGAGACTTGATCCTATTTTTTTCTTCTATGATCTTTATAGTTTTTGGTTTTATATTTTGATCATCTTGAATTAATTTCTATGTATGGTGTGAGGTATGAGTCCTGTTGCATTTTTTTGTTTCCCTGCCCTCTGGCACCCTAGGTCTTGCTTGGTCTTCCCCTCTTTCCTTCCTCCTAGCAATCATTGTTGCCATCTACCCCTGGCAGGGACCAGGACATGGGCAACGGAGGGCTGGTGGTTGGAGTTGGGTTTTCTCTGTTTAGTGGTGTCTTAAGGCAAAGGATGACAGCAACCATCCCCTCCCTGAGCTAACACTGTCAAGGATCAGTGGGCAATTTGACAGGAATGAGTATCTTGCCCACTCTCAATCCAGATACATACTGCATCCCAGCATGGAGTCTGTAATATTCTTGGGAGTAGCCCGGTCGCTATGGGTCAGGGCTGAAGTCTCCTGGGAAGGAGAGATGCCTGATTTAACTCTTGCTGTGGCAAGGCACGTCAGTCCAGCAGCTGGCAGGAAGGTGAACCCGGCAGAAGTGGGTGGCAGACGTGGGTCGTACATGTTTGTGCAGAGTGACAGGGCAGGGCCACTGGTCGCCTGTGAGAGTCTGAACTTGCCCCAAGAGTATCTTCATGCCTGAGGGAGTGCAACATTACATAGCAAGTAAAAAATACCACTACAGGTTGAGAAAGAGAGAGAGACATTGGAAGAAGGGAAAAAGATTTATATTTTGGTAATTTGAAGACCACTTCTTTTTCCTGCTTTTCGAATAAGACCTTTTCATTTCGTATTGAGCCCAGCAAATTATGTAGTCTGTCTTGGCTTGGAGTGAACCTCTAGTCCTTGAAAAATAAGATGACTGTTGACCCCTTGTAACTGCCTTAAATGCAGTTGCCTGCTGTCTCCAGAATGAGGTGAGAATGGAAGGACTGCTCTTTTAGCAATCCACAGCGCTGCACTTTTCTTAGTTAGGTATTCATGAGAACTTAGACAAGATAATATAAATTCTGAGTTTAAATGAGAAGGTACTTGAAACCAGTGACATAAAGTAGAATTTTGCCATATTAGTATTCATTTCAGGGGGTCCAGCCGTCTTAGTTACTTAGTACTGCTGTCACAGAAATACCACAAGTACCATAGTTCAGGGGGCTATAAGTCCCAATTTAGGGTGTAGTCTAGGGGAAGGCCTTTCTTTGTCTATTTCAGCTTCTAGTAGCCAGCAATCATTAGAGTTCCTGGGTTTGTACATTCATCTGCCTCTGCTTGTCATCAGATAACATTTGTCTTCCCCTTGTTTATGCAAGCATCTTTATGTGTCTTTAATGTTCTTTACATAACTCAGAAGTGATTAGGTTTAGGATCCACCCTACACTGATAGGACCTCAACCAATTGATTGGTTACATTACATTAGATATCATTATGGAAGGTGATTGCATTACATTGTATTGGATTATACCCACAGGTATAGAGGTTAAGATTCCAATACATATTTTGAGGGACTACATTTTAATCTGTAATACCAATTGTGAGTCTCTTAGTGTCATGGATTGAATTGTGTCCCCCCAAAATATGTGTCAACTTGGTTAGGCCATGATTCCCAGTATTGTGTGGTTGCCTTCCATTTTGTGATTGTAATTTTATATTAAAGAGGATTAGGGTGGGATTGTAACACCCTTACCCAGGTCACGTGCCTGATCCAATGTAAAGGGAGTTTCCCTGGGTTGTGGCCTGCACCACCTTTTATCTCCCAAGAGATAAAAAAGAAAGGGAAGTGAGCAGAGAGGGGGAACTCATACCACCAAGAAAGCAGTGCCGGGAGCAGAGCACGTCCTTTGGACCTGAGGTTCCTGCACTGAGATGCTTCCAGACCAAGGGAAGACTTAATGACAAGGACCCTCCTCCAGAGCCGACAGAGAGAGAAAGCCTTCCCACGGAGCTGACACCCTGGATTTGGACTTGTAACCTACCAGACTGTGAGAGAATAAATTTCTCTTTGTTAAAGCCATCCACTTGTGTTATTTCTGTTATAGCAGCCCTAGAAGACTAAAACAGTTATGTTTGAAACCTAAACTTGTTAACAAATTAGACCGTCTGTGTAAGAAACAAATAATATGAGGTAGTGAGATAATATATAAAATAAATGAGATAGTATATACCTAAAAGTGTCTGAAAGTTTGTATTTTTTATTAACTTAAATCTTTTTAAGAAGAGTTTGGAAGAGAAAATATGTCTTTTCAACATATCATTCTTAACTGGATTAGTCATAATAAATAACCATTATGCACACACACACACACACACACACACACACACACACACATTACAGAAATATCATGGTTAGTGAGGCTGAGAATACATGGGCTATTCCCTAACAGTTTTTTAAATAAAAAATTTTATTTTTGAATAATTTCAAATTTAATGAAAGCTTACAAAATATTATAGAGTTCTCATATGCTTTCCACTTAGCTTCCTCTAATGTTAACATCTTATATATAACCGTGGTATGATGATGTTAACTTTGATCACTTGGTTAAAGTAATAGCTGTCAGATTTCTCCATTGTAAAACTACTATTTTTCCCTTTTCATACTCTATTCTTTGAAAGCAAGTCACTTCCATTTAAGTTGAGGCGAATTAATCTCCACTTCCTGGAGGGAGTAGTATCTGCATATATTATCTGGAATAATTCTGTTAGAAAAACGTGCCCCTTCTCTTGTATTTATTTTTCGATCATTTATTGATATCAGTATAGCGTAAAGAAGTAAATCAATGATCTTGTCCAGATCATATATGAAAGTCATGTTTTCAATACTACAGCAATCATTTGTTGTTTTTCATGGGTTTATGATTATTTTGACAAATGTTTTTAAGGTATTCCAACTTTTAGTAATATTGTTATAATAACATGATGAGGAAGGATGCTTATCTCCCTCCTCTCATGCTTTCTTAAAGAGGGCTATTCCACTCTCTATCTTATAAGGGGGAAGTAGTAAAATGGATACTTCAGGTCTTTCCACCGACTTAATCAATTTACTCCAAATTAAGAGAAAGAGTTAATCAAGTTGGTGGGAGACTGTAATGTTTGGAGCACATTTCTTCATGGAGGTTGGGTTACACTGTTAAAGGCACTGTTCTTAATTAGGATTTCTAAAAATATTTAGTTTTAGACATGTGTTTTAATAATTAAAATACTATATAACTACTATGTGTGCTTATATATATATATACATATATTATCTTGATTAAATGAGATTATGTGTGTAACATTTAAAGTGTGCAGTGGACAGTAAATTTCACATTTAAAAAAATAAAAAAGTTAATATGCTTGGGTTAAGCAACTTGCCATGTTCACACAGCTCATAAACATTGAAGCTGGAATTCAAACTCCATCTGACTCCAGTGCATCAGCTCTTAACCAATGCCTTCTGATATTATATAATTATCCTCATTTTACTTATGAGTAAACTGAAGCTATTAAGGAGCATAGTAGGGATTAGAAATCCAAACAACCTGACTCCAGATCTTTTGCTCTTTCTGCCTCATACATCTACAGTTGGTCATTAATATATGTCCTACACTCCCCTCTCTTCATTTACATTGTCCTTGGGAATTTTCCAGAGTCAGAAGAGCAATAGACTGAGTGACACCCACTGAGGTTTGTGAGTCCTACTCAGCAGAGCATGGAAATATTTTTATTTCTGATAAGCTTTACTGATCAAGATGGTCATTTGGTCTGGAGAAAAGTATAAATGTGGGTGTTTCTTGCCCTTTTCTTATGGACACTGTGCTGCTCTCTCAGGACCCTCCAATCATGTGGACCTTCCTGTTTCTTTTTGCTGTTTTCTTCTTTCTGGCCCCAGGTAAAAAAAGCATCTTTGAAGGGAAGGTTATCAGAGATGGTGGCCCAGAGAGAGGGTCTACCTCAGTGAGCACGCAGGAATGACAACCCTGGCATAAAAGGGCACCAGGATCTGGGGCCCTGCAGGAGAACATTTACCACAGAAGAAAACTTTCACCTAAAAACCTCCTCTATAAATCCTATGCATTTTTCCATTATCATCTAGGATGGGCTGCATTTTGAATTTGACTTGTAATTAGTTTGAAGAAATAAAGGAATGCCAGGAAGGATGCTTGGTCCCTAACTTCATGCTCAAAAAAAAAAAAAAAAAAAAATGTAAAAGCAATGGTAACAGCCTAAGGGCTTTAAAAAAATATTTGTGGGTGGAGATTAAGGCAGGTAAGCAAGAGAAACAGAGAAATAAAGAAACAGAAGAGAAAAAGAATGGAGCTTAGAGATGTTTATGTGTTTAATGAACACCTACTGTGGGCTCGTCATGACCTTAGGTGAAATAATAGAAATTAAACTGCCATCCCGTAATCATATACAGTAAGCTAGATATATGATAAAAACTTCACATAATGAAATTTGTTTAATTCTCCAAAGCTGGTTCCTTTAAGGGCAACTCAGTCCTAATTTAATGATATTTAGAACATTTGTGTTTGTTAGTTTGGAAAGTCCATTTTATGAATGTAGAAATTGAGATTCAAATAGGCTAAGCAACTTGTTCAAACTCATACGTAGATAGGAAGGAGTGAGGAAGGATTTGTGACTGACTCTGTTTGCCACAGGGAGAGGAGTTTAATATGTCCTCCCCCTTTAAGAACTCTCTTCACTTTCTGCTGCTCCTGGGAAAACACAATGGCTCCACTTGGGTCTTGTCGCAAACTGAGGTTTGAGACCAGTCTGATCCCAGTTTCCAGAGAGCTAAAGAAAGGTCTACCCACAGCCACAATGAGTCCAAATTTGTGCCAGATGTTAGTGATGTATTATCCCCTGTGAGATACTGAGAATTTTCACACCAGTTGTACACATCTCTGGTCTGTTTTGTAATACACCTGTGTGAGTAGACTCTGTGCCATAGCTATGAGGATCTCAGACCTACAGTAAACCATGTTATACTCATTGCACTGGCTTTGATGTAAACACATGGAAACAGAACCAGAGGTATCTTTTTCAGATTACTCATACTTATTATACAACAACAACAACAATATTATATAATTAGTTAACAAGATACAAAATTATATAATAGAAAATTAACATATCTAAATGAAACTATTAATGCGCCATATGCACACACACACATGCACAGACGCACACATACAGTTACATTCTAGATGGTATCTGTGGTGGCCTATTAGAAACCTTGTAGGCGTAGGTGCTTTATTTTCCCAGAGGCTGCCTGGGCCATTACTGTGAATTAGATCTCCAATTGGACCTGACTTTTGCTAGGGTAAGGTCCAGTGCTTCCAGCCCAAGATAACCTTACAGCATTAGGAGACTAGAGAGCATAGGTCTCTGCAGTTGGAGCAAGAGTTAACTGAGCTTTGAAATTTGGGGGGTATTTATACTTATGAACTTATATATTGATGCTAGACAGTATTAGTGTTGGTACTAATCCATCTGGCTGTAAGTTTTACATATATATGAATTAGACCACATTTATCAGTTGACATTAAATGAAATTTGTGTACATTTGACCCTCACATTACATATATTCAAATTAGATAACTCTAAAATGTTGACTCTAATAAGATGTGTTATCTGGTTCTTAGTGCAGCAGCTCTTAGGATTCCTACTGATACAGTAGTAAGGTCAGACCAGAATTCTATGCAAAATGACATGAGAAAAGTCTTGGAGGCACCACTCCCAACACTCTCCCCCTTCCTGCTCTAGAACATATCCTTTGCACATTTGTCATTTTGAGGGACTGTGCAGGAGAAATCAGACTGAGGCTTTTTAAACATTTTTAAAATTTCTATCTACTATGGTTAATGTTTTTTCTTTCCATATAACCCATTGCCAGTTACCACTGAGTTGACTCTGACTCATGGAGATCGCATGTGTGTCAGAGTAGGACTGTGCTCCATAGGGTTTTTAATAGCTGATCTTTTGGGAGTAAATTGCCAGGCCTTTCTTCCATGGTGCCTCTGGGTGGACTTCAACCTCCAACTTTTGGTTGGCTTCCAAGAGCATTAGCCGTTTGTACCATCCAGGGACTTCTTTCCATATATTTGTCTTTTTTTTCCTCTGATCTTATCTGTCTCCTCAACCTCAGGTTTTGTACTACTCTTAAGAGTATGTTGGAGAAGTTACTGACTCTGGAGGTGTTTATAGGAACAAGCTGATAATTACCCCTAACAGATTTTGATAAAAGAACAATAGCTTCTATTTCTCAAAAGCCCCACACAGTCTAATTCAAAATGCTGGGAGACAAATCTATCCTTGCTAGTCTATCACCCTGTATGACAAAAAGAAGTATCAGATAGAAATATTTCCTTTGCTTTCTCATTTACTGGCAAAGCAAGACACTACGACAGTTTGAAAATAAATTTTCACTAACTAGTTACATGACTGTACTTGGTAACCAGACAAGTCTGAGAAGAAAAATAATCCAGGTGGCTCCTTCTCTTGTATAGCCAGAAATGAATTCTTTAATGAAAAATGCTACAACTTACAAGGGAAATGTCAATCTTCTTGTGCTAAAAATGAAGAACTTGTTGCTCTCTGCTGGAAGAATCTGAAATGCTGTGTGAAAATCAAACCATGTAAGAAGATTAGAGAGCAAGACTGAAGATTTATGCTTCCCAGAGCAACAAAAAAGAATTAGCTTCTTCTCCTCTTTACTCTGGGCTCTGAGCTCTTCTTTAAGCAGATACTTCAATAAAAATAAATGACTGTCTTTTATCAATTTGTAGAGTGATTCATTTAGAAGGTGGATATGGCTAGCTAAATTTGAAAGTCCCTTCCTCCTGGCCTACTTTCTGTAATTTTGTGGTAAGAAAATACTCCAAAAGTAGTCTGATATTTTTCTAAAGGGAAACTAGAGAAGACTGTGAATCAGTAAAATTCTAGCTTGTGCTCAGGCAGTCAGCCCCAACTAACCTGTTGAGCTAGAAAGATAGCTAGCTAGATAATAGACCAAAGAATAATTCAGTTAAATGAGACGCTCTTTATTTCATCAATTCAAGGACTCTAGGGTGTCACACCTGTCTACATTTACCATTTTGACTCCACGCCTCTAACTGGGGCCAGTTAAATACATCTTATGTATTTGTCCCCTATCCATAAATCTGAGATCTAATTTGCTGATGGGCAGAGGTATTGAAAATAGCACTGTGATTGTCAGTAGCTCCAGTTACCTGGATCCAGGTCTTACATTGAATTTTATTTCCGTAGGAAGTAGGGAACTGATTAAATTACTTTAATCATTAAGGTAATTAACCCTAATGATTCCCTAATTTTAGTAAGGCAACCTTATCATGCTCTGTATGGTCAAGTCCCAGCTTTGGTTCCCTGGTGGGTCAGAAATCTTGCCTTTAAAAAAATAAAAAAGAAGTGGAGCCAACATGGTGCTATAGACAGAAGCACCACGTCAGCCCTCCATAGCAAAGACCCTAAAAACTAAGTAAAACGAGACAAACATCAATCCTGGAAGCCTAAGCATCAAATGAAGAGATAAAGAACCTAATCAAGTGATGAATGGAAAAAGAAACTGACAGAAAACAGAGAGTGAGTAGAGATACAGAGTGAAGGTCACCTATCAGATAACGCAGCACGGATTCACCATCTTGGACTCCTGTCGGAGATTGGTGGACATGTAGTATGGGAATGCAGCTTCAAGGAGCTTCCAAAAGGAAATAGAGCACCCACTGGACCTTCCCTGTTGTTCCATAGCTGAGCAACTGGACCTGCCCATTGGACAAAGCAATGAGAAGTATTGTGCCCACAGACAAGCAAACACCAAAGAAGGCACTTCCAGCCCGCTCATACATAACCAAATAAAACAAAAAAGCACGAAACAAATCTACAATCTATAAACGAAGAAAATAACTACTGAATGTCCTGAAGATTGCAGACACTATCAAAACATATTAAAAAAAAATAAAAAGGACAAGATGGTTCTAGTAGGCATTCAAAATAAAACATGAGATGACTTTCCAGTAGAAGAAAAGACATTAGACCTACCTGATAAGTAATTCAAGTTTCTAATATTCAGAGCTCTCCAAAAGCTGAAGGAAAAAATAGACAAAATCATGGAAAATAAAGCTTAAAAAATGGAAGAATTCAGGAAAATAATACAGGAATAAAATGCCAAAATAAATTCAGAACTAGAAATCATACAAAAACAACAATTAGAAATCCAAAAGATAAACAACAAGACTTCAGAAATGGGCAGTGTCATAGAAGGGGTGAGGAGCAGGTCTAACAATGGAAGACAGGATTAGTGAAACAGAAGACAAATACTTGGATACCACTTTGTTTGAGGAAAAATAAAAAAAAAAAGAAAAAAATATGAAGAAATCATGAGAATGATGTGGGATAAAATCAAAAGCAAAATTTTCGAATGATTGGAGTTCCAGAAGAGGGGGAGAAAACGGAAAAGCAGAGAGGATCATTGAAGAATTTCTGACAGAAAACTTCCCTAATATCATGAAAGATGAAAAGCTGACCATCCAAGAAGCTCATGAAACACCTATAGGATAGACTGCAAAAGCAAGTCACCAAGGCATACCATAATCACGTTCCCTAAAACCAAAGATGAAGAAAGAATCCTGAGAGCAGCTCGAGAAAAATGAAAAGTCACATATGGAGGGGAAAAAATAAGACTAGGTTCTGATTACTTGGCAAGAAGTCAATGGGATGACATATATAAAATCTTGAAAGAAAAACATTGCTAACCAAGAATAATATATCCTGTAAAACTCTCATTCAAATATGAGGGATGAAATTAAAACATTTCCAGATAAACAGAAATGAAAGGAATATGTAAAAACCAAACCAAACTTACAAGCATTATTAAAGGAAGTCCTTCGGTTTGAAAACAAACAATATCAGATGACAGGCTGAATCTAAGACACAAGACCGCACAACCAGATACCAAACTAGGAAATGAACTCTCAAGGACTAATCAAAACTATACATTTATGGGACATCTGGCAACATGGCGTTCTAGGCAGAAACACTATGGCGTCCCTCCACAGCAAAGATCCAAAAAACTAAGCCAAACAGAGTAAAGAGCAATCCTGAAACCCTAAACTCCAAATGAAGAGAAAAAGAACTCAGCCAAGCACCAAATGGAATAAGAAACTGACAGAGAACAGAGAGCGAGGAGACATACATGTAGAGGTCCCCTATCAGCTAACACAACACGGATCTGCTCTCTTGGACTCCTATCAGAGACCAGCAAATAGGGGTTACAAGACAGCAGCTTCACGGAGCTTCCAGCAGGAGACAGAACAAGTGGTAATTTGCAATATACGCTTTCCCACTCCCCACCCTTCTTCACCCCAACTTGGCCTTTTCTGTTTCCCGTGGCCACAGTCTCTTGGCCGGGAAGCACCGGCTGCTTGGACTCCACCTGCCCAAACTGGCAGACTCCCTGAGTGCCATTTTTTGGCTGCTGGTGTTGCTTTTTTCTGCTTCTTTTGATTTCTTCCTTACCTCTCACCTTCCCGTCCTTTCTCTCAAATACCTGGCTCTGTGCGCCATCTTTGTTTCTTCCTGAGGGGCTGCGGTGCTGCGTTTGAGTGTGGAACTGTTTCCCAGTCCTTGCTGCCACGCTGGTGGGATCCCAGGACTTTTTCGTTTCTTTGTTTGTTTTGAATTGGTTGTTTGTTCTCTTTTTCTTTTCTCGAGTTGGGAGCCCATTCTAGCCAGGCAGTGCTGCCCGGCTTAAGACCTACTCCCTCAGCTTGCGCAGACATGCAGAGAAATCCCTGAGGGCATTTCTCTTTTCGTGTTTTTTTTTTTTTTCTTCTTTGGAGGGGTTCTTGTTCTTTTTTTTTTTAATTTGTTTTGTTTTCTTTTCCCTCTTTTTCCCTTTTTGTCTCTCTTCATTACTCAGTTTCTCATCTCTCTATACTTTCCTTCTCTTCCTGTCCCCTGAATACCTGGCACTGAATACCTCTATGCCTCCTAGCCAGGCTGTACTTCAACACCTGGGAACAACTCCCCAGACCTCGTAGCTGAACCAGTGGGATCCCTGGGGGCTTTTCTTTCCTTTATTCTTTCTGATTTTTATTTACTCATCTTTTCTTCTTTTTGTCTTTCTCCATTTCTCAGTCTCTCATCTCTCCACTCCAATGGCAAGCTCCCTTAGCACTCTTTTGTTTGTTTTTGGTTCGAATTTCTCTCTCATCTCTCTCCTCTTTCCCTTACCCATCTTAGCTCCACACATCACAATCCCCCATCTTTCCTGCTTACATGCACTGTATGCTGAAAATCACAACCCCAAGCAGCACAGGCATGGCCTAATGGAACCTGTCTTGCCCTGATACATGGATCGCCCAGTTGGCTGTGGTACATGCCACAAACAACCTTCCCAAGCAATTCCTCTTCAGCTAGACTTGCCCTGATGTGCCATATCTGAGCCACTGACCTTGCCAATTGGACAAGGAGGATAAAAGTATTTGGTCCACAGAGCAGCAAACAACAAAGAACACACAGCCCACCTGCTGAGACATAGCAAATAAAACAAAAAAGCAGGATGAAACAAATATGCTATCAGTATATGAGGAAAATAACTACTGCATGCCCCGAAGACAGCAGACAATATCAAAACATTTACAAAAACAGGACAGGATGGTTCCAGTAGGCGTCAAAAATAAAACACCAGATGACTTTTCAGTAGAAGAAAAGGCCCCAGAACGACCAGATAGGGAATTCATATCTCTAATATTCAGAATTATCCAAGAG